AGAGGCACCGACAAGGTATCTGGCCTCCAGTCACCTGAAAGGTCCCTGCTGAAAAGGGAGGGGGCAGGGGCAGGAGGTGCCCGAGAGGCACAACTCTCAGGGGAGCCCGACTGGGAGCTGAAGCTCAGAGGGACAAATGTAAAAACACAGAAAGGTCCACCAGAGAGTTTATAACCCGCATCAGGGAACAGCAAAGCGCAGAGGTTCCCAGAATTGAGGGAATCTCACTACTGAAGGAGCCTAAGAGCTGGTGGACTGCTGAGCAGCCAGAATCAATCAACAAACAGCTCCCGATGAGCAAAAATCCTGTCCCCCTTCTCTGCCGCCTCCTCCCTGCATGGACACTGAAGACAAGCCAGGGAGAATTCCAGAGGGGAGGGAGGCATGGGGGTCCGGCCATTGCTCAGGATGGCCCCACCTGTAAAACGTCATTTCCAAGTTCCAGTCTCATCACCCCCAGAGTTTCTGCCTGTCCCTTCATCTTCCCTCCCTGCCAGTCCCCAAGCAACCACTGATCCGTCAACATCACTATATACTAGTTTGCATTTTCTAGAGTTTTATATAAATGGAATCTGACACTGTGTACTTTCTCTCCCAGCTTCTTCCACTGAGCATTAATAATTACTTTGAGATTTATCCACATGCTGTTAGGTATGTAAACAGGCCATTCCTTTTTATTGCTGAGTAGTATTCCATTGCAGAGATACACCACAATTTGTTCACTCATGTACCTTTTAGTGGACATCTGGGTTATATCCAGTTTGGTTGCTATGACTACTCATGTCCACATCTTTGTATGGAAAAAACCAAACAGATAAACAAACAAGGGGAAGAATTAAATAGTCCCTATCCCATGTGCTCCTCAAACCTGAGCTGGGGAGAGGGCAGCAGCATGTAAACTGGAGTTGATGTCTGGTTTTACACTGCTAAGGAACTTTAGTCAAAAGTGGTCTGAAGGCCATGGGTTCTGCCAGGTGGAAGGTGGTCGTCCTGGGGAGAGATGGGTCATCAGCATCAATGGGAAGAGTAAGGCTGCCTCCTGACAGTAGCTTAGAGACTTGTCCAAGGTCACAAAGACCTGTCCAATGCAGGAAAGCGGGAGACATCTGTGAAAGGGGAGCCGAGTCATGAGGAGACAGCAACTAGGACACAAAGGGAAGTTCCCGGTGAGCCTGATTGCAACAGCCAAAGGGAGGAGGGCGGCAGCGAGCCCGAGAATCACATACACCCACACGCTCGGCCCCCGCCCGTGAGCGCCCCGCACTGCACCACAACACCGGCACTCCACATCCCAGTGATCTCAAATCCAGCAGCTACGTTCTCACCCCAGAAGCCTGCTGCATGGTCTGTGAGAGGCTGTGATATACCCTCCCATCACAGACTTTCAGAGCTGAAAAGCCCCGAAGGAAACAAGGCTTGCAGGGATGAGGTGACTTGCCAACGGCCACCAGGTAGGATTAGAACAAAATTCTCCTGATTTCTGCTGCAGTACACCACCATCACTTTAACACGGGCTCTCCACTCAGAGATACTGCTAAATGTGTTCATGAAATACCAGGTTCAAAATGATGATCCTAAAAGCAACTGCCTGAAAAATAGAAGCAGCAATTGCAACACACGTATTTGGTGCATAGTTATGTAAAGGACTACTGCTTTTCTCTAGGATGTGGGTCACTAAATTAAGGCTGTTAGGAAACTGTTTGCTTCATTTCCAACCCATGTCCTGATTGCTCATCCGTACATCAATCATGGGTGATGCTGGTCTAGACAGTCAACAGCACACCAGCCTCTTGGATCCCCCTGGCTTTATCACACTCCTTTGCGAGGTATAAGAAACTCCCACATAAATATTTCCTGCCCCCCCCCTTGATTTAGATTTTTCCGACCTAGAACTGGATCATCAATTTAGGAGAGGCCTCAGGCTTCTGAAGGCTTATACCTATAGAACTATAGTGTTCATGTTGAAATGACAGAGAGATCCTCTATGCAGCAAGAAGGTCCTCTCAGCTCAGAATTATCACACACAGCAGGGTGAGGGAGGACGGGGACATTCACCTACATCAACCTGACCTGCCTAAGTCTTACAGACTTTTCTTCGCACTATTCACTGATTAGGGCCCTGATCCACTATCAAGTCCCTCAGGTCCCACTTTGTCCCTGTAGCACTTTTTTAAAAAAAAAAAAACAACTTCTTTTATTATTTCTGTTCAGTAAAGATGCATCTCCTCACTTACTGCCATTCTTTAAACAGTCATTGCTGTAGTTTTGTGTGGCCTCTTCCTCTGAGCAGAGACACAGAGCACATGGGTGTTAAGAAGATACAGAGGCCGGACATACCCAGCAGGCAGTTCCAGCCATGGACTTGCATGGTAACCGCCCTGGCAGGTACCCTATTTTGTCCATGCAATGGGATTGATCACTGCTTCTCAAGGTTGTGGCAAAGACTTCATTAGTCAAGTTCTATAGAGTGAACATCTATTGAATGAATGCTAGAAGGATCACCAAACTACTTAAATCTGGTTTTCTTTTCAGTTGCCTAGCTAGCAGAATGGAATATACAGATGTTAAATGTTTATATGATGTATTGCCCCTGTTATTTTAAAAAACTGCTGCTCATAGCAGCATTATTCGTAACAATGCTGCTGGAACAATTCACATGTCCATCGACGAATGAATGCATCAACAAAACGTGGTGCATACACTGATGAAATATTATCCAACTTTAAAAAGGAGGGAATTCTGACATATGCTATGACATGGACAAGCCTTAATATCATGCTAAGTGACATAGGCAGACACAAAAGGACAAAGACTCTATGACGACATTTATATGAGGCACCTAGAGTAGTCAAATACATGGAGACAGAAAGGAGCAGGTGGTTACCAGGGATCGGAGAAGAGGTGGGTGGGGATTTATTGCTTAATGGGAACAGTTTCAATTTTGCAAGATGAAGAAACTCCTGGAGGTGAATAGTGCTGATGGTTGCACACAGTGTTAACATACCTATTGCCATATTATACATACAATGAATAAACTAGCAAGCTTTATTTCATGTATATTTATCATGACTTCAAAAAGTATTGAACAAAAACTAGTTGCTTCAACCAAGTGCTAACAAAGAGATCTGAGCAACCAGAGTTGCATGTATTCCAGTTAAACTGTTTTCTTTTACACCAATTTGGTAAAATATACTGCTATTCTGGCATTTATTTTTAGTGTTCCTGGTATTGTATCAACCAAATAAACAAATATGTGAGAAATATGGCAATAGTAACTATACAAGCAAAGCATGTAGGGTGGGGAATTAGGTAGAAAAGAAAAATCCTTACAAAAGGGCAGAGTTTCAGGTAATAAAATATAAGTCCTATAGATTCATTTTTAACACAGTGTATTAAAGTCTGGCAAAGTTTTTCTGTAAACCTTTGTGGGCCTTGTGGCCACTACTGAACTCTGGTGTTGGAGGTTGACTGTAGTCACAGTCACTACGTAAACAAAGGGATGTGCTGTTCCAACAAAAATTTATTTACAAAAACTAGCAGCAGGCCAGATTTGGCCTAAGGGCAAAAGTGTGACAAACCTTAGTCTAGAGAAACAAAATAAAGAAATAAAGGGAAAATTTGGAATAAGGTATGTATCAACCCACATGAACTAAATTACCATGGGTTCCTACTCTTTGCCCCAATGAACCAGAACCATGAGCAGAAGTTCAAATTTAAAATGTCCTTTTCTTACCAGATTTTTAATCATCTCTCAGAGAAGAGCTAAATGACTCAATGAGCTAAAATGTTTCTAGTGGATTCCTCATTTTCACTTAAAAATGGAATGATAGTCTACTTATATTAAAACATTCAGAATGTTTTTCTTTTTTTTTAAAATCCTTACCTAAGGATATGTTTATTGATTTTAGAGAAAGAGAGACAGAGAAACGTCAATGTGAAAGAGAAACATCAATCAATTGCCTCCGATATGTGCCCTACAAGGGCATTGAACCCGCAACCTGGGTATGTGCCCTGACCAGAAATCGAACCAAAACCTTTTGGTATACGGGACGATACCCCAACCAACTGAGCCACCTAATCAGACCTGTTTTTCTTTCTTTAAAAAAATATTTCTTAAAAAAAAAAAAATTTCTTAGTCCCCAGAAGTCAACTCGCAACAGTAAATTCTTACTCTAAGCAACTCTAAGCTTTTTCAATTGATTATCAAGATACAGAATAAAATCTAGGCCAGTAACTTCAAATATGTATCACTTCAATAGAGGTTGGTTATTATCAAGATCCCTAAGGAATGTATGAACTATCTATCTATAAGATGGGAAGGTATCGCCCAGCTGGCGTGGCTCAGAGGTTGAGCGCTGATACCATGCACAAGGAGGCCCCGGTTTGATTCCTGGTCAGGGCACATGCTTGGGTTTCAGGCTCAATCCCCAGTAGCGGGTGTGCAGGAAGTAGCTGATCAATGATTCTCTTTCATCACTGATGTTTCTCTCTCTCTCTCTCTCTCTCTCTCTCTCTCTCTCTGAAATCAATAAAAAACACATTAAAAAATAAAACAGGAAGATATCTAAAGAATACATATTTTAGTGTAAAAACAAGTAAACCATCTACACAAAGAGCACAACTGTGTAAAACAGGAAAACACACACTCTCTACATTCTCACTTGCAATATGAAAGGAAAAATGTTTAGAAGGATATTCTCCTCACCTCTAAGGAGGATTCCAAGTTTCACAATGTTCATGTTCCACTTTAGGTTATTCTGTACTTATACATTTTTTACCATAAGCATGAATAACTTTTAGTATTAAGATTTTTATGTTGTTAAAAGGTTTATCATCAACTTCATTATTAAGAATAATTTTGAATGCCAATTTTTTAACAGAAAGAGTAGTCCCTCAAAGGACTTCTACCACTCATAAAGGTCATCACGAAACAAGGATATTTACATATACAATCCATGGAACATGGTCTTTTTGGGTAAAATTTCACAACAGTACAATACCTCAGCTCCACCCATCCATTTGGGCTCATCAGGAAACTCAGCACACAAAATATCTTCTGACTGATCAGTCCCCAAGACATGGTAGCAGAGCTTCTGGTGGAGGTTGCTGGACGTCTCTGTGCCTGGAAGAGTTAACAATGTAGACTGAAACGCAGTGTGCAATTTTAAGAGACTCTATTCCACCCACTCTGTACTATGCTAGAATCCAAGTCACGTATCTGGTTGTAGGACATGAGGTTATTACATAAAAGTTAATTGTTTTTCTATATACCAGCAATGAGCAAACGGAATTTCAAACTAAACACACAATACCACTTACATTAGTACCCCCAAAAGGAATACCTAGGTATAAATCTAACAAAATGTATATGAGATCTAGAGGAGGAAAACTATAAAAACTTTGATGAAAGAAATCAAAGAAGAGCTAAATAAATGGGGAGATACTTCATGTTTGTGGTCAGGAAGACTCAATATTGTCAGTTCTTCTCAACTTGACCTTTAGATTCGATCCAATCCCAGTCAAAATCCCAGCAAGTTATTTTGTGGATATTGACAAACTGATTCTAAAGTTTATGTGGAGAAGCAAAAACAAAACAAAACAAAACAACAGCCAACACAATATTGGAGGACTGACATCTGACTTCAAGACTTACTGTAAGTAATCAAGACATTGGTGCCATTGGCAAAAACAGACAAACAGATCAGTGGAATAGAGTAGACAGCCCAGAAACAGATAATACAGTCAACTGATCTTTGCTAAAAGAGCAATAGTTATACAATAGAGAAAAGATAATTTTTTTCAACAAACAGTGGATATCCACATGTAAAACAATCTACACACAGACCGGACACACTTCACAAACATGGACTCAAAATGGACCTCAGCCCTAACTCTACATGCAAAACTATAAATATCCTAGAAAACAACATAGGAGAAACCTAGGTGACCGTGGGTTCCGTGGTGACTTTTTGGATACAACACCAAAGGCACAATTCATGAAAGAAAGAACTGAGAAGCTGAACTTCATTAAAATTAGAGCCATCTGCTCTGTGAAAGATACTGTCAAGGAAATGAAAAGACAAGCCACAAAGTGGGAGAAAATATTTGCAAAAAACATATCTGATAAAGGACTGTCATCCCAAATACACAGAGAATTACTAAAACTCAACAATGAGGGGAAAAACCACCTAATTAAAAAAATGGGCCAAAGACCTTAACAGACAGTAAGAGATGGCAAATAAGCATATGCAAAGATGTTCCACATCATAGGTCATCAAGAAAACGCAAATAAAACCGAGATATCATTATCAGAATGGCCACAATCCAGAGCATGGATGACACCAAATGCTGATGAGGATGTGGAGCAATAGGAACTCTCATTCATTGCTGGTGGGAATGCAAAATGGCACAGCCACTTTGCAAGACAGTTCGGCAGTTTCTTCCAAACCTAAACATACTTCTACCACATGATGCAATAATCACACTCCTTGGTATTTACCCAAAGGAGCTGAAAACTTATTTATGTTGATGCAAAAACCTGCACATAAATGTTTATAACTGCTTCATTCATAATTGCCAAAACTTGGAAGCAACCAAGATGTTTTAGGTGAGTGCGTAAATAAACCGTGCTACATCTACACAATAGAATATTATTAAGCACTAAAAAGAAATAAACTATCAAGCCATGAAAAGACATGGAGCAATTTTAAATGCATATGACTAAGTGAAAGAAGACAATCTGAAAAGGGTAGATAGTCGATGTCAACTAAAGGCATTCTGGAAAAGGCAAAACTACAGAGATGGTAAGATCAGTGGTTGCCAGGGGTTAGGAGGGAGGGAGGGAGGATGAAGAGGTGGAACAGAGGATTATCAGGCGAGTGAAACTACCCTGGTATAATACCACAATGGTGGAGACATATCGTTACACATTTGTGTGAACCCCTGGAATGTACACCAGAACCTGAAGTCTAATGTAAATGATTGCTCTGGGGTGATTATGATGTGTCCATGTAGGCTCATCAACTGTACCACTGTGGTGGAGATGCTGATAATGGGGGAGGCTATGCATGTGTGGGGGCGGGGGATGTATGGGAAATCTCTGTACTTCGTGCTCAATTTTGCTGTGAACCTAAAACGGCTCTAAAAGCGAACTGTTAAAAAAAAAAAGAAGTTAAGAATCAGTTGAGTATCATCTGGAAGTAATTCACAACATATCTGCTGATTTTTTGAGGCTGTTTTAAGATTGAACTATTTTTATTTTATTCTGAAAACGTACCAAGCTTTCAGAACAATGAAGAAAAAGATAATACCACGACACACAGTGCAATATTCAGATCTTATGTCATAGAAATGTACACTTGAAAGCTCTATGATCCTATTACCCAATGTCACCCCAGCAAATTTAATGAAAAAAAAAAACACCACCACCTTAGAGCACTTGGTGACTTTCCCAGGGCTTTCTGGGAACACTGGTAAGAAGTGCGCCATCAGAACCACTCAGCTTCTCTGCACGGGCTCCAGCACTCACCCTAAGTGGCTGCTGAGGTTCTCTGGACAAGAGGCCAGCAACTGACAGCTGGGAGGGACTGGCTTTCTTAGTTCAATCGCAATTACTATGGTTGCCACTGAAAGTGGAGGGTAACTGAAAAATTTCATGTTTTTCACAAGTTAACTTCCTAACATTGTTCTCTAACAAGAAATGGCCAGTTATATGCTTTTTTGATCTCCCAGAACTTGGAAATAGTCAACAATTTCTAACCCACTGGCACTCTCAATACAGACACAGAGGTCTTTCTTTAGCCAACACTCTTGATTTAAAAACCTCTTAGCTACTCTTGTAGATCCCTGGTGAATTCAGAGAAAGGTAATGAGTAGTATAATCAAAGGCAGCAGACGGTAAACATAGCCAAAAGAAATGAAAAGTGTTACAGCCTTATTCCCAGTTCAACTGGGAGGGGGAGGCGGGAGACAGAAAGGAGAGTATAACTAAAGGTCCCGGGCCCGCAGTGCGCATGTGTGGAATGTCTGAGGGACAATGAATCGGCCACCTATTTAAAAAGTTTGAGGACCTCTGTGATAAGGGGACAACATGTGCGGTAGAAAGCACTTGCCAGGCCCAGGCTCTGAAAAAGGTACCTGAGACTCTGCATCCCAGCTCCACATCTCTAACAAAGGGACCGTAAAACCCACCCGTCAAGACCAGCCAAGAAACATGAGAACGCTATACCTCCAGTGGAATATGGAGTGGCATAAAGACGCTGATGCTGACAGCCTGTACCAGCAAGGTATAAGGTACAGGACCCTTCCTGTCTGGGAAGATGAGGAGTGAAGGGAGAAAGAAAGAGGGACCACTGAACCGAACAGGATCTTTGTGAAACTGAAGAGGAGAAGAATAGGTGTGTATGGGAAGTTAACAAGAAGAAAAGTGTCAAGACAAATGCAGCCAACAGGGGACTGTAACTTCTGACCCGGGGAAAAGATCAATGATGATTACAGCAGAAAAATTTTATAATCACTCAACATCATTAAATCAGTTGGTTTTATGAAAAAAATCCATCTTCTCCATGAACCCCTGGGACACAGAACAATGAAGTTGTTTAATAGGGGATGGTAAACAGAATGCAGGGAAGTGACAGTATGACAGTAGCCATCCCAGGCATCTAAGAAGTTGTGCCTTTCAGCTCCCCCTCTTGGAATCTTGCTGAGCTGCCATGCACGATTAGCCTGCTAGAGGATGAGAGACCACATGGAGCAGAGCCGAGGCCCCAGACATGTAAAAGAGTCAAGCCAACTGACCTGCAGCTGACCACAGACAGACACATGATGAACTCAGCTAAGCCCAGAAGAACTGCCTGGACAGCCCATAGACTCAAGCAAAATAAATGGTCATTATTCTAAACCATTGAGGTTCGGGGTGATCTCTTATACAACAAAGTTACACGGTACAACGTTCTTTGAGGAATCCTGGCTCTAGACCAAGCATGTCAAACTCAAAGGCTAACATGGGCCAAATAAACACGGTTTAAGTTTATGTGGGCCGCAAAAAAAAAAAACCTTCCATTTTCATTGAAACGTAGGTTTATTTCGATAGAAATGCTGAACACAAAGGGCTGAAATAAATGAGTAATCATTAACATAAAGTAATACAACATTTTAATAAAAATTAATATTTTTTTTGAACAATAGAGACATGCTGAATACAAAGGGCTGAAATAAATGAGTAACCATTAACAAAATCATAGAACATTTTAATAAAAATTAATATTTTTTCTTGAACATTAACTTACCAGGCACTGAATAACTGCACAAATTAATAAGCGTAACACAAATAAACCTATTTTTCTTGTTCTTCGAAAGCAAAATATCTCCTGTTGTGCACACCAAACAAGTCAGTCCAAGACTAATGACGTGGCCATCGGTTGCTAAAATATTTGCTGCTAGTATCAGTGGAGAGAAATGGTGCGCCTGCACGTATAGCACGTAAGGGAAATGAATGCAACACGATTATAGTAATCAGTCATTAGCGAACGTTGTAGTCCATTATTAATAACTAGAGGCCCTGTGCACGAATTCGTGCATGAGTGGGATCCCTCAGTCTGGCCAGCCATTGGGGCTGATCAGCCAGGGGGAGGGGCTGCGGGAGTTTGGCCACCCTGATGGGGGTCATCAGGCCAGCCGGCTGGGGCAGGGGCCAGGGTTGTGGGAGGTTGGCCAACTGGCTGTGGGGAGGGGCCATGAGAGGTTGGCTGTGGGAGCACACTGACCACCAGGGGACAGCTCCTGTGTTGAGCGCCTGCCCCCTGGTGGTCAGTGCGTGTCATAGCGACCAGTTGACTGGTCGTTTGGTCGCTTAGGCTTTTATATAAATACACACACATACATATATATACACTAGAGGCCTGGTGCATGAATTCATGCACATTGAAAGGAAATTAATTAGAAGAATGATACATGTGGTAATTATGTTACTACAAAAAATTACGTCAATAGTATATATAATATAGCATTATAAAATTAAAACATGCGTGCGACTGGTACCAGCGAGAACTTTATATGTATCACACATGTGCGAGTCAACGTTTATTTTTAAATTGCCATTGCGCATCATATGTACTGGACGATTGGACGGTTGATGAATAAATAGCAATGTGGCTCACGTTGAATGTCAACTAAAACAACTAAATTCACAATCGACAATGACAGATCGAAACACACATGGGATTGGTGCCAGTGAGAGCTTTACATGAATCACACAAGGGCGAGTCGATGTTTATTTTTAAATTGCCAGTGCGCATGATATGTACACGCTGGTCAGTCAGTGGGTCGGACAGACAGTCGGTCACTTAGCCTTTTATATATATAGATAGATAATGTATAACAGGATATTGTAAAAATTAAATTACGGAACTTTTATTAAAACATTTCTTACATACTGTTATATTGGCTGGGCCCCAAAAATATTCGCTGTGGGCCACAAGTTAGACATGCTTGCTCGAGTCTAGACCAAACTGTTAGGGATTAGTTTTTCTTTTGAAGTTATGGGAGTCACACTTCTATTTCATAAAAAAAGGTGCTTTCACCTAAGTCTTAACATACCATCACTTTTTCCATCTTGCTGGGGGTAAGAGTTGTAGAACATTCCCTTCCCATCATGGGTCCAGGCCATACAGCTGAACTTGACTCTTTCGAGCACATCTGGAAGCTCTTTAGCACCATCGACTTTCATAAACTTGATTGTCACCCAGTCGGAGCCACTGGCACTCAGACCATAGGCAAAATATTCACCGTCTTCACTGAATGCATAGCCTATGGAACATAGGAGAAATCAAACAGTGATGGGGACACAGTGCCTGGCCCTGCTCACTGCCCTGCGCTGCCCCACAACACTATCTGTCGTACACGGAGGCAGACTGTGGTAGTGAGGAACTCTGAGGGCCAAGCTCATGTCTTACAGGCATTTGCCTTATGACCTTAAGCAAGTCTTCATTTCTTCATCTCTAACATGAAGTGTTGGATTCTATGCCCACTAAGATGCTTCCATTTTTTAATTTCTATCAGTTAAAAGCAGAGCTCATCTTGGATTTTCAGCACATTTTATTTACACTCTAAAGCAGCGGTTCTCAACCTGTGGGTCGCGACCCCTTTGGCGGTCGAACGACCCTTTCACAGGGGTCGCCTAAGACCATCTGGCATATCAGATATTTACATTACACTCATAACAGTAGCAACATTACAGTTATAAAGTAGCAACGAAAATAATTTTATGGTTGGGTCACAACATGAGGAACTGTATTTAAAGGGCCAGAAGGTTGAGAACCACTGCAAAGGGAACAAGTAAGGAGCAAGGAAACTGCCTTTGGAGTAATGATTGAATTAGGACACACACCATGAAACAGAACTAAACTGGAGTCATTGGGTAATTTTGGGGATGGATTCCAAACTATCTGAGTTCATTCTTTACAACCCCGTTTTCTGAGCATTACTGGCACTCAAGGATTATCGCCCAGACCATCCGAACACCACCAGCCCAGGCAAATAAGGCCTGAGGGTTTGCAATGAAGGATCTCACGCGGTCCACATACCAAGTGACCGTGGAAGAGGAAAAAAAGCAACACCATCTATGGACTACTCTACTGTCCAATTCTTTAGGGACAAGAGAGATAGATCATTGTTATCACCATGGAATGTTTCCTGACAAATATAGCAGCTTTCATCATTGTGAATTATCATTATGGTACAGCATTTGGTACCAGACACCAACACCAGAAATTTCCTCTTAGGATGTTTGCTGAACTTTACCTGGGGAGGGGAGGTGGGGAGGGGAGGGCTTGTGGAAATTATTCTAAGAAACCCAACTATTTTCAGAGGCTTTCTATTATTTTTACATGAGACCTCTATTAATGGGAAATATGTCTAAAACTTCAAAAAGCCTACTTATTAATCACTTACAATTCCTATAAAATATCCAGGCTCATAAGTATGTAATTGCAGAAAAGAATCTAGAAGATGATGGGGAGAAAATATTCACTTTCCACTCTATATAACATTGTAGTGTTTGAATTAGCTTTATAGAATTAGAAACTTTCAGAAAAATTCCAAATAAAAATGTTGATTTCAAATTATATTCATTTTATCTTTGTTAATCCACACCCAACATAGCTTTTCCATTGATTTCTACAGAGAGTGGAGGAGAGGGGAGAGACAGAGAGAAACATCGATGTGAGAGAGGCACATCAATTGTTGCCTCCCACACGAGCCTGCCACTGAGGTGCATGCCCTTGACCAAAACTGAACCCATAAACCTTCAGTCAGCAGGCTGACACTTTATCCACAGAGCCAAACCAGCAGGGTTCAAATATGTATTTTAAAAATATATATACTAGCTGTAGCTGGTTTGGCTCAGTGGATAGAGCGTCTACCTGCATAGTGAAGGGTCCTGGGTTCAATTCTGGTCAAGGGCACATGCCCAGGTTGCAGGCTTGATCCCCCGGGGGGGTGGGGGGGGAGGCGGGTGCAGGAGACAGATGATCAATGATTCTCATCTTTGATGTTTCTCTCTCTCTCTCCCTCTCCCTTCCTCTCTGAAATCAATAAAAATACACTTTTTAAAAAATGTATATACGATCAAAAGAATCTGATTGTTTACCTCCCATACTGTAATTTCCCTATAATACCACTGTCAAACACCCAATCCAGGTCCCATGTTGAATTTTCCTTTTCATCCATCCGGACATCAGGATGGCAACAATCCCATAAAAAAGTTACTAGGATGAATTATCAAAGTGAGAAGTAAGACTCTGTTATAATGAAGTCTTTCTGGATGAGTTGCAAGATAGACCTTTGCTAAAACTAAATGAATCCTACACAGGGTACATTATTGCACAGAACAAGTATATTAATAAGTTCATTTAACTCCAAGTTCCAATTCATGGAAGAATACGCTTATTAAACTGGCTGGCATCTTATTACTTTCAATACCAGTTAGTAAAGAATCATCATTTACATCCACAGCCCATTTGGAGAGAGGGAACCACTAAATGACTGAATGCCTTTATTTTTATTGTAAGGGCAATTTTGGTCAAGGGCATTTTTATTTTTATTCTAAGGGTCCTTGCACAGATCTGTTTAATTCCCACCTAACTGATTATAGGACTTCAGTGTTCCAACTGCTCAATTCTGTAGGACTGAACCTACACCTGTGCTTTCTTTAATAAAACAGAAGATGAGCCAACTGCACTAAAAACATCTTTAATGCTACCAAGATGTGGTTCTCAGAGGATACAGTTATTAAACCACAGAACCACAAACTTCCTGACCCTAGGACTAGTGTTTATGGCACAAACCGGGGGTAATCGTTATGGCCTGTGGAGGAGGTTATCTTCGGGACAGGATTATTTAGGAGACATATAGCAACTGTAGGCTAAACTTACTCAGTTTTTAAACTTGCATCTTTAGAGGTCAGGGTACCAAGTTGTCCAATTTTTACAAGCTTGTATGTTTTTACTTTTAATTCTAACATACTGACAATTATCTAAATTTTAAAACTCTTAATCAGTTCCCCCCCACCACCCCCCACCCCCCACAAGGAAAGGGATCTCGCAAATAGTCCTTCCTATTTTATATTTATAGTTGAAACATTCTTTGTATAGCTTAAATTTCTTATACAAGAGGATTGTGTTTCTAATCACAGATAGTTCTCGGGGATATTATGGGAAATGATGAAGATACTTCAGGGTCTCAGAAGCCCTAGGCGCTAATTTGAGGCCAGTGACAAGTATTCTCCAGATCTGCTTCATGCCATCAGAAGGACACGTGATTACTCACGTGTTCTAAACATACTGTGCAAAAATAGCTCTCCTGACATTGCGTGTGCATCTGTTCTGCAACAGGGTCCACGCTCTGTCTGGTATTTCCGAGGTGAGGTGACTCGTCCAACACAGAGCTTAGCATGGGGGCCTGGGACTCCCGGGGGCCTGGCTGTGGAGCACTCACCTCGAAGCGCCACGGTGCCATCATCGGAGAGTACGTTGGGGTCTAGGAACACTCTGGCTTCACCTTCTAAGGAATCCTGTACATATAATACTCGCTGGTTCTGCAAACCTGTATTGTAAAAATAGAAATACCTGCGGGACAGAGACAGTCTTTATTTAGCTGTGGAGTTTTCTACTTGCGGAGTAAAACCAAATGCATATAAGCAACACACACACACACACACACACACACACACACACACACACACACACACAGGTACAGCAGCAAACGGGACATGGGGACTAGGTTATAGGTCCCACCATCTCCCCATACCTAGAGTTTACCTGAACTGCTTTAAATATTCAAATCCTGCACCTTAACTAAACATAGACAAAGACTTTTATTTGCTAAATAAAAGGCAGCTGGGTAGGGGTCGGCAAACCTTTTCTGTAACGGGCAAGACTGAAAACATTTCAGGTTTTGTGGCCACACATTTCCGCTGCTACTACACAACTGTGAGTTTGTACGGAAGCAGCCACGGACAATATATACATGAATGGACATGGCTGCGTGCCATTTAAACCTCATTTATAAAAGCAGGTGGTGGGCAGGGCTTGGCATGCAGATCCACTTTGCTGATCCTTGGGGGAAAAGGGGTTACTAAATTATTGATGATACTTTCAATGAGGCTTAAAAACCTAACTAGAGAATATGTTTGAGTGAGTGTAAGAAAACAAGGGAAGCAAATTATTAGGTTCTACTTCCTGGACAATTTTCATTTTTGCATAGAAGAAATGCATATAACAAAATCTTTTCAAGTAGTATAAACCAAAGATAATTAAATTTTAGAGGCAAACAAATCTCCATTGTTATTTATGAATCATGCAATCTCACCAATTACTAGCCATAAGAAAACAATAGTTTTTTACACTCTAGATTTCGTCGTAGGACATATCTATATTAAATTTCTTTGTTTTTCTTTTTTTGTGTGTGATTACGTTTGTTGTTTTTTTTAAATTTATTTTTAATTATAGGGACATCTACTAAATTTCTTAATCCTTACTTTAAGAATCTGGACAATAGACCAAAAGATATTCTCATACTTAAGCATAGCAATGAATCCATTTTATAATGAATTAATTTGATAAACTGGTAAGTTATTCAGAATTTGTTTTAACATTTAAGAACGCATTCAATTAGAAAAGTGAAATAAAATTAAGTGAAAGCAATGTCACGTACCGCTTTCCTTTCTTGAAGTGGCAACTATACTTGGGATAGTCATACAGCTCAGTCATCCTCTCCTTGTATAAGCCTCGGATGGGGCACTGCTCAAGGAACGGCACAGTGATCTTGTTCTGGGCCTCCACAAAAGCCTGCAGAAAAAGGTAAATGGCCCGAGAAAGTCAGATATAAAATTTACCATGAGACATGTTATACTTTAACGTGTATCAGAGAGATGCAGCAATTCCACTTCTGGGACTAGATCCAAAGATGTTGAAGAGATATTACCTACAAGAGCCAAGATATAGAAATGACCTACGTGTCCACTGATGGATCGAATGGATAAAGAAAATGTGATATATACGTGTGTGCAGGGGAATATTACTCAGCCACAAAAGGGAGGAAATTCTGCCATTTGTGACAACATGGATAGACCTTGAGTGCATTATGCTAAGTGAAATGAGTCAGCAGAGAAAGACAAACACTGTATGGTCTCACTTATATGTGAAACCTAAAAAAAAAACCCCACACAAACATTCATAGAAAAGAGATCAGATTTGTGGTCCCCAAAGGCAGGGAGGTGAGGAGGGAGGAGGAAAGAGGGAATTGGATAAATGTGGACAAAGGTACAAACTTCTGTTATAAAATAAGAAGTATCAAGGATGCAATGTCCAATATGATGACTATAGTTAACACTGCTGTATGGCATATATAAAAAAGTTAAGAGTTAATCCTGAGTTCTCATCACATATTTTTTTCTTTGTATCAATATCAGATGATAGATGTTAACAAAATTTAATATGGTAATCATTTCACAATATATGTATAAGTCAAGTCATTATGCTGAATACCTTAATCTTACACAGAACTGGAGGAGGGGGTAGACTAAAAAAATGCAACAGTGGAAGCATATTTTCCCTCCATAAATAACGAATATTTACAAGGCACAAACTTCGTACCAGGCAAGTATTAACTCATTTGGAACTCACAATCGAAGTTCTTGAATTAGCCCACCTCTGTGGATAGGGAAACTGAGTCTCAGAGGGGTTAAAAAGCTGCCGGCATCATGCAGTGAGGCAATGGCAGAGCTGGCTCCTGCAAATCCATGCTCTTAACAAGCACACTCGGATCACACACGGCCAGGAAACCACACTCACACTGTGCTGAGGCTCTGGCTGCTTCGTCAGCAGCTGGGGTCCCACACATCAGAGTTAAAGATACAAGGTTAGAGACACCTAGGCGCTATTTTTATCAATTTTGTTTTTGACTTACTATCTTTCTAAGACCTACTACCTTGTCAACTTCACTAATATTTTTTAAAATTGGAAAATGAGTGGCATTGAATAAGAGTATCTATAATACATGGTTTATATGAGAGGCAAGCGATGGCCTGCAGGAAGGCAGGGGACCCTGCCAGAGTAGTTTTTTGCAACAACAGACCAGTTGTAGCCAAGCATACCCTGTTGATAATGAAGCAGTCAGAAAGTAGCTTTTGATTTTTGTTACAAAATGGATACACGGTGGCAAAGCCACTCAAGAGGCAGCATTTTGGAGATGACTAAGCACCTGCAGGAGCACTACCCGATTTCATGGGGGAAGGAAAGCCATGCCTACCTGGCAGACATGGTGGAGGTAGGTGGCCAGTCGCTGATCAAGGTCATGCAGGGAGTTAGCAATAGCTCTGAATTACTTTATTCCAGACATTGTGACTGAAGCTGAACAGTGACCGGAGCTGACTCCATGTCTGATGTGGGATGTGGAGACGAAGCAGGCCCACCCAGGAGAGAAGGGGGGCAGCCTGGGCCTCCTCTGACTTTCTCCCACTTGGGCTGGCAGGACAGGCACCTTGGGGTGCTGGACCACCAATGAGGATTTAGTAAGAACCTAGGGTGCCTCAGCACTAATCCGGGATTGTGAAAGGAGGGGGGACAAGTTTAAGACCAGCTCTCGTGAGAGCAGAAGCCACATGGAATGGCTGATATCTAAGAGGGGCAGGAATGGCCATTACAGTGGGAGTGAGATGGGGAAAATGGGCACAGCGCACGGTAATGTGTAGTTTTGATAGCTATTTCCCAGAAGGGCCTGACCCTGCCCTCTGAGGAGGGCGCCACAAACTTCATTTCTCGTCCTCTGGTTTGTGTGTGGATGAGGCTGCATCCAGGCCTTCTCCTGGCTGCAGGGCAGCCTGGCTCTAGGGCCTAGAGTCTAGGCGGACATGGTGAGTCCAAGAGTCACAGATTGCCCAGGGGTTTTCCTTGGAAAGGTGGAACTGTGTTCTCTGATCGTGTCTCAATTCTGCGCTGCTTCTCTTACACGTCTCATGGCACAATCATAACTGCTGCAACAGAATCCATCGCAGGCTAAAGCAGACACATGGCTCTTCCCGTTTAAAATGGTCGTAAAGCTGTTAGGCCAGGTATAACAATGCCACCAAATACCCACATAACTCTAGGATTATTACACCCAATTCTGTCACCTTCCACCCACAAGTGTTAGGCAATGACTTTAAACAGAGCAGTGTTTAAGGACTGCACCCTTCCAAGTCAAATACCTAGACGCAAAACCAAACAGTGTTCAAATTCCTCCACGCCTGAAGTTCTTTCACAGTAAACAGCTTTATAACTCGGGCAAATCCTTGTCCTGAAGGTGGTGGGAAACTTTCTGTAAAGGGGCTTTGTGAAAGCTGGGGTTCCACAGAATGCCAATAAAATTCCTGGCATTTTAACCAGGAAAATACCTTCTTGCTCATTTATGGATTTAATAGTCTGGTTTCTTGGTCTAAAAATTAGAACAAATTTGGGGGAAAGGTTAAAGGAAGGAACCTGGAGGAATTACATGATGATAAAGAAGCAGGCTGGGGAGAACTAAAATGCTCTTCGTTCCTCAGATGTTTCAGCATCTGAAGTCACTGTTCACGATGTTATCACGAGAACTGAAACCTGAGAGCCCATTAACCACACCTGCAGCAAAGCCTCTAAATTTTAGAGGCTTTTGAAAAGAATCAACAGTTCAGATGCTATAGCTATGGATGAATCTGAACACATTTTCCCAAGAAAAGCTGCTTAAAACAAAGAAATCCTGTTCATATATCAGAAAACTTCAAAGCAAAGGGAAGTTTCCATTATGCAAGATGAATAAATTCCAGAGATCTCTGTGCAATATTGTGCCTATGGGTAACAATACTGTATTGTACATATAAAATTTTAAGAGGGTGGACCTCATGTAATTTAATTCTTGCCATTAAAGAAAAAAAAAATGCAAAGTGCCTCCGCAGAGGGTCACAAGGTGTGGGAGCTGGAGATTCCTTTACCCCAACTGCCTTCAGGAAGAATTTTTTCAAGTTGTCCTCACGTGTCCTATATTTCAATCCACAAAATACCTCAAGTCCTCTGACAAGTACAATTCTTACATATGTAATAAAAATGATGCATAGTTACTCATTACACACACACACACACACACACACACCCCAGCATGACTATATAACACGGAATTACAAAGATGAATTAAGGATAAGAATAAGTGCTACAGGGGAACAAATGAAGGGGACACTACTTCCAGGATAAGGCGGGGTGGGCTGGGGTAGAGGCCATGTCAGGACAACCAGGAAGGAGCTCCAGGCAGAAGACCAACTCGGGCACCAGTATCCAGCTCCAAATACCAATAAAAGCTAGGGTAGTGCTATCTACATCCCACTGCTGCAAACTACAAGTGTGTGTGTGTGTGTGTGTGTGTGTGTGTGTGTGTGTGTGTGTGTGTGTGTGTGTGTAAGAGCGAGAGAGAGAGAGAGAGATTACTGTTTAAGCAACTATCAGGGGGCTCTGAGAAAGGCAGTGTGGGTGTCACACATGGCCCGGCAGAACACCAGGATCCCACACGTCCTGGTGGCCAGAGGGGAAGCACACTTGCACCACCGCCCCCACCTTTGCTGGAAGTTTAGCAGGATCTGGAAGGGCAGGGATAACCCCATAAAAAAAGTCAAAAGGTGGCAAAACTCATCCCTGAGGCTGCAGGACCCAGGGCCAGGAGGGCCGAGCAGCCACACAGAAAACTGGAGGTCGGTCATGCCAAACAGAAGGTCAGAGGCAGCGGCTTTAGGAAACATGCCTAGAAACAGAGACTATAAATGGAATAATGCATGTCATCAGACTAATATGAGGACTCATTACTTCAAAGAGAAAGGAGTGCCCCTTATTGTCCAGTTCTCACTGAATATTTAAAAAAATCAGCAGCCCACCAGACAACAAAGGAATCCTTAAAGCCCAAGCAGTACTGTGACCGCAATGCCATTAACCTCAACTAAGTGAGGGCCTTTCTCTCCCTGGCCTCCCCCCGCCTCCCCCAACCCCCAACTCATTTCCAAAGAGGAGAAATACCAAATCTAATCTGTGAAATCTGGAATTCATTGGGCTTGCCTTTTAACTTCAAAACCCCAGAGTGTCTGCGTTCTGAGAACACCTGCTCTCAGGTAAGGGAAGCTCCCGGCGCTTCCAGCTGCACATGCTTAGCAGACCAGGTGTCTCCCACCTTCTTGCCTGTCCCCATCGGGGCAAACCAGTCCCCTCACCGGGGCTAGTGACTTCTGTCAAGCAGAAGGAAGCAGAAACCTGCATTTTGACCCGAGATTCAGCCTTGTTCTCAAATCTCGTCACACTAGCAGGGAGCTCATTCTAAGCTGGAACTTGAGCCCCACCAGCTCTGTTCTTCAGTGTATATACTACTGACCAGAAACTCGGCCAGGAGGGAGGGGAGGTGCACCCCAAATCCAAACCTAACTAAAAACCCAATCATGAAGAAGTTAAACACATACGTATCCTCTCTTAAATAATTCCTGTGCATCAATGAGGGAATCCAAATTAGAACGAGAATATATAGAAAAACAAAAAAGGCCACTAAGAATTGAAGTTCATGGGTGTGGTAAAAACATTCGGAGTTGACATCTGGTTTTGTTTGGTACGTTTGTGAAGTCCCTCGGATAGAGCGGGACTGTCACCTCTGCTGGCCATCAGTGCACCCCTCCCCTAGACCTGGGACTGATCCAGGGTCCTCGACACCCATGCAGGATGAAGCTCGTGGTTGGTCTAGAACATCCGTGGGCAAACTATGGCCCGCGGGCCGGATCCGGCCCGTTTGAAATGAATAAAACTAAAAA